AAAAGTGAGATCTGAAACTAAAATATTGCGTAAAGTAAAGTCTTGTCGAGGCAAACGAGGATCTGGCATCAATTTAGATTAATTAAAAAGTTTTTCTCTCATTCAAGCAGCATATGAAAAGGGATTTCGATTATATATAAACGGCGCGTTTTATCATCTAAACGTGGATTATGCGAATCTCCATTTCTGTATAGACGGGATCACGTCGTGCGTGCTTCGTGACAGCGTGCGTGAGCCAAACAATTCGCAATTTTAAATAAACCCTACTTCCACCGCGTGCATAATCGCTCAGTTGCAAAATGCACGTGCGCATTACACAGAAATTTCCTAACGACTTCTTTGAAGCGCCAGCCTTGAAATAAAACAGCACAGTTCTCGCACGAGTTATTTCACTGTAAACAAACTCGTAAATATATGTCAACTAACAATTACATAATATCAATATTATAATTTCCTACTTAACAATAATAATGCGACTGTTATGCACGCCGTATGTTATATTACATTTACATCGTTGAGTGAGGTAAATTATAATATTGGTGTTACGTAACTGTTGGTGTTTGCTGCACTGTTAAATTCCTAGTGACTCAACGAGTCAAAATTTGACTCAATTAGTAGTCGCCGCTGCTCCTACTCAATGTATTGTTATAACTTTTAACTAGCGACTGTAGTAAAATTTATTATTTTAATACAAATTGTAGTTAAGAAACAACTACACCTTTTATTCAACCCATTTTATGGATTCCCTTAACTCCATTGTTTAATTAAATCAACGACATATTGAGTCGGAGTGTCGTTATTCTGCAAACGAAGTCTCCGAATGATAATAATGCCGGGAGAGCTTACAGAATAACGACAAACGAGCATCCATCTATTTATTTATTTAGTACGCGCTCGTATTTTTATTACGTTCCACTATATCCTAAATTTTTTGTGTTTGTATTATTACAAAAGCTAACTTAATTGGGGATTTACTTGACATTTGATTAATTATCGACGTCCAATGCTCGCGTTCAGATGGACCACTTTGTCTCTCGTTTAAATAGTTATTGGATAAACAACGTTAAATAGGACCGTTACGATATAAATCAGACAAGCGAGAGCGCCTTTAGGTCCGAGCAAGATGTTGGTAGCCCAATAATTGTAATCTAAGGTTACCGGATAAATTGGTCTCTGCGAAGAAACTGAAAATGAAGATGTAAAAAGCCAGAAATTGGATAAAACCGGGGATGCATGTTGAATTTCACCTCGAGCATTTTGCGAGATAGATTCCAACACGCGTCGGGAGACAGCGAATAAGCTACGCCCAAGAAGAAGGATGAAGCTAAAGCTGAACTAACAAAGTAGGGTACGAACCGCCGACAGGGGCATCGAACTTTTACTCTCGACAGAATTATGTATACCGTATATACACGAGACGGGGCCTACGGTTCGATTACCTCACCTCACAGTCGCGCAGAAAACTACGTAATGCGGGGTGTCCCAGACCGGTCGGAGAGAGAGCTTTAATTTGCAGGTTCTTTGATCAATTTGGAGTCGTCGCCACGATGAAAATATCCGTGAACGGATAGCTCTCGAGTTACAAACAATCGAGAGCCCCCTTCCGGCTTTACAATTGCTAACATCGAATTCTTTCTTCAATTTCACGTCGACTTCAGCGAAGTCTTGTACAATTAATCGAGAATTTGTTGCTAAGATATTTAATATTGAGAAGCGGTGTCAAATAACCTCGCGCAATATGTTTTTCAAGGAAAAATCAATTTCAAATTTGCAAAGGAAAGTCGCCTATTATAAGACAGGCTTCTAATATGTGACGGCAGGTTTTCAACATCCAGATTCAATCACAATTTTCTTTTTTTGCGACGGTTACACGATCTAACAATTAATCTTCCACTAAACAGATTTCACACCAAGGGCAACAAATTCATTCGGTGGAGCCAACAAACGCTGCCTATCAATTTAGCAGATTGTCTCCCCGCTGTCCCGTATTAGGAGCCTATCTCATGATAACTTTGCTCTATATTATATACTTCCGTAAAATACCCCATGCATCGGGCAAGTCGCAATTTTGGTACATATAATAATCGGCGCTCATGAACCGATAAGTGCGGCGCGTGTGCCAAGGTGATTGACTATGTAATCATCAATATTGATTACAATTTCTGCGACCCTTCTGTCACCCTTCGACACGCGGAAAATCGATACCGGCCGCTTTATTTATATCCGACTCCGTGCATAAAACGAACCGGCTCGACACTGCAGCGCGAGCGTGGACGAAAGAGTTTTTCAACGGCCGCCGTTACGAGAACAATCTCCCGAGAGTAGACACGTGCTCCCCGCAGGTGTAACGCCTCGTATATTTGTACTGTTCGCGATATTTCGCCGACCTACAGTGGAACAAGCTCGTTGTTTGCCGGCCCCCGCGTACGCGTCGCCTCGTATATCACGATGCTATTTATACAGGATATATGAAGCTTTTTACGTATACGCTCGGTACGCGGAATCGTCTTGCTCCTCGGCCTCTGTGGCGGAAAATGTGCGTTCTCCACGGGTTAACACCGTAAGCCTCGAAGCTTAGACCGAGAGGACTAGACACGTGTTGTATCTCGACGTTTCACTAAGTTCTTATCGCAACTGGCTTGTACAGTCTGATAAATTGTATTCCCACACAGCAAGATAACAGAAAGATGGTCTATTTAAGATTTAGACATTCAAAAATACCATCAGAAAGACAACATAACGGAGTCAGAAAGAGCTCTTACGCGCCACTTGCAGAGAAATGAAAGACTTGTTTCAAAAGTCATCGGAAAGATAACTTTTTTTGGGGGAATATCCTGTAATACACATCAATATTGCATCTCAAATTAGGTATCTTTAAGAGTTCATGTTTATGATGTCCAATAAGACATTCTAAGATATTTAAAACGCCAAGCCTTTGGTGAGAAATGTTTAACAAGCGGTTGAAAAGGAATTTTTGACAATGTAAAGGCTTAGAAATAGCATGAAGGAAAATCATACGAGTGTAGACAAGAAATCGTATAGTAAAAGAACTTTAACATCAGATGAAAGATAAAAACCTTCATGCGGGTGTGTCAATTTTTAATACCACGTGCGGTTTTTTTCTTACGAGAAAGTGCCATGCCGCGCGTCCCTCTAGAGGGAACCTTGACAGGTTTTCCATATCTATTGAGACCTAATTAAATGTCCCTAGTGGGGCATTTAATTAGATCTGAATAGGACATTCTAATAGAACATTTAATTAGATTTAGTCAGAGCTCAATAGATAACCTCGAACATTCAAGGAAAGTGTCGAATCTCTGAAGATCTGATAACTTTTAGAATTGGATCTCATGAGTTAGATATTACATGATTTAGATGTATATAATGAGATTTCTTTCTCAATTCTCATATCCCATATTGATTCGTTGTCCCGACAGTAACATGAAACGCGGAACCAACCGAATTAAAGGCCCGAGCACACGAAAAAACTAAAGTAGTAAAACTTGAGACTTAAAGAAAATGACCAACGACTGTCGAGAGCAGCCATTTTGAAACTTAAGCAATGTTGAAAATTCCGATTGGTTGACATTCTTAAGTCTTAAGTCTTACTGCTTAAGTTTCTTCGTGTGTTTCCAGCTTAAGACTTTTAAATGACCACTGAGAGTCAAGAACATAAGCAGCCAATTTGAAACTTAATACTGAAAATTACGACTGGTTGAAATTCTTCAGTCTTACTGCTGAAGTTTTTTCGTGCGTTTCCAGTTTTAACGTCAGGAACGAACGGTATGCGTATCAACATCGTTCACGATCTGACGAAGATCTGATATTGACTGCTGGAAAACTGCCAATTTGAGTTTTCCCGCAGCGCCGCGAGCTCGAGTCTCGTTCCGAAGCTTGATTAAACGAATCTCTGAGTAATCAAAGGCGTTTCGCCAATTATTTGACTTGGCTCATATGAGATCAGACGCGGCAACTCCGTAGACAAGCGTAAAGATTAACGCCGCCGCAGCTGAGTGCAAAAATAAGACCCGGAGCCGCCGTATATTGCGCAAGTTAAGACCCGTGTTTACGCGGGATTCAGCGGCAAGCCGTCGCACGTGCGACAGCCCCGTGCTTGCAACTGGCCCATAAACACCCCATAAATCGTAACAGTTACAGTTTCAAATGGAATTTTCGTTTCAACTCGATAACGTTGCCTTATCTTTTCAAAGAGAAAACAATGTTGCGCGCTTATTATTTAGGAATCGAAGTATTCGAGAGGGGATGACGTGTAGCTCTGTGCTAACGCGAATGATTCATAATCCTAGGGTCCTCGGTTCAAGTCCTCGTCCCGCATATTTTCCTGTTAAGGAAAATTTCAAAAATTCAGCGCTTGGAAAAGTTTGAACGCCTAGTGTTGGATTCAGTGTTTAAGCATGAATTTCAAGGAATCTTTAGAAATATATCACGCTGATATAATCTAATGATTGAAAGGCGTTTCCATAAATGGGTAAACTTAAAAAAAAAGTATTCGAGACTCACCGCCGCGGCGGTTCGAAACCGGAATCTCGTCGCGCGACCGCCGCGAGTTCTCCCCCGGCGCGGGGCGGGGCAGCGCGAGGCACAAGAGATACATAAACCCGATTCGTCTCGTACGTCTATTCTTACGTTCATAAGGTTATTTACACTCGGTGTCTGACACCATTTCGGTGGACTCGAGCCGCGGCAGCCCGGAGCCAAGCGCGACTATTTGTCCGTCTATCGAGGCTCTCGGATTGCCGTTTCGAAAAGCGCGCACCGCGTCTCGCAAGAGGCACGAGACGGAAATCCAAGTGGTCGACAGAACAGCTGATTGTTCCGAGTCGGAGAGGCGCGTACAAAGGCTTCCTGAGGGGAAGCTTTCGCGCCGCAAGCCACGATTCCCATGCACCATCTTAGATTTCCATCATCAGATTGTCTCATCTCGCTCGCTCGCACTCATTTAAGGATTTAACGTTCTGACGTTGACAATATGTTAAAAATGTACTAAATCGTTTTCATTTATTGTCCGAATGTGTGTAAAAGCCGATTCCCTGACTGATTCGCGAGTTAATCTTCTACACGAGTTCTCGTAAAATAGCGGCATATTCTCTTGTATAAACGAAATTATAAGGAACACATTGACAGCATCTTGAAACTTTGTGAACGAATTTCTTAAGTAAAAATTTATATCGATTCGCTAACCCGTTGTCGAGTTATTAACTGAAAATCGATGCAAAATTCCGGAAACGGCTTTTGCTATCTACAAAATATGTAAAAATATTAATTTATTATTTTGGCTGAGATAATACTTTTCGCAATACGATTTCTTTACAGTATGGAGAGGGGAATATTGTATCGTATGCCAAATGTAGCGTTTGAAATAATTAGAAATTCGTTCGACTTAAATACGTGAATTTGCTGACGACAATGATTCCATCTAAACGAAACTGTGTTATATGTCCGGAAACCAGCGCGCAGTACGGGTGGAAAAACTGTATAAGAATTCACATATTAAAAATTATTGGGCTGCCTACATCTTACTTGAACCTTATAGGCTTTCTCGTTTCTTGTTCACTTATAATGTTTATCGTGTTAGTTTGAATTATTAAAGTCCTCTGCACGATATGGGCTCATATAATGTACACCTCAACTCTCAAAATTATAGAGTTTCATCGATTGGAAATTGCGGTAACTCTTTTGTCTGGACTGCATATCCAGCACACCCTTAAAATATGCCAATTCTTTTGGAAGATTGCACAGACATTGTTACATTATTGCAGAACTGTTGTAATCGACAGGTAGATCTTATATGATCGATTAAATGTACGTTTTACACAAAGATTTGTGAAAAAATTCGCAACGTAAACAGTAGTTTAGCAAGAATCTTTCCTAACATTTACGCAGTTCTACAAAAACAGATGGAACATCGTATCTTGATCAAAAACATCCAGAGATGATGTGTCGCAGATGTCGACATTAAAAGAAGACGAGTAATAAAAATAGATTCGAGTTGAAGTTTCGTCTTTGTAGTAACATCTTCCTTTTCAATTTTGTGATTCACCAAGTTCTTTTCTGCACGAAGCACACGAGAATTTCTCACATCAATTAATAACTTGAACTTTCAGTAACAACGGCGATACAATTTAACGGTACTAACCGCCGAAGCCACTTGCGACGACAATCCCTTTATTCGAACATTCAAATAGCGACATCATTACACCCGACTGTCCATAATCTGCGAAACAAACTCGGTCAAGAACGAATACACGCGTGCAAAGTTAATGTTACGACTCCAGTTACAAATACGCTAAGATTATCACGCAGCGATACAATAATAAAAACATCCTAATTAGCATAACAGTTTTATAAACTCCAATATAAACTTATTATCAGAGAATGTCATTATAATCGATGTAAAATCGCCCAGCCATACATTGATTCCTTTTAACCAACGAATTAACTTGGATACGCTTGGATCAGCTACTTTAGCATTTCTACTCGCTGTATAAATATTTTCAGAGATATTTTGCCACGTGTCCCTCTCTTTCTTTCTATATATATACGTATACATGCGATTTCCCGGTCGCGTCGCAGACGGGTTGCAAGCTTACCCGATTCCGAAAAGCACGAAAAGGTGCGCGCTGGCATTTGCTCGATATCGCGCGACAGTACGACAATAAGGCACGATAGGCGGTCGTCGATTACGTGAACCGCGCGACGCGACGGGCCGAAAGGAACTGGACGGTGGCCGCGACCCCACCACGAGCCGGCACTCGGCCGACGAATGTAAACATTCGCGACAGCTGATCGCCGAAGTACACGCTCCGATTCTAGCCCCGACAGCAGCGGTGGCGGTGGCGACCTGCTGTTATAAGAGCGCACGCGAGTATAGCCAGTGGGCGCGGGCGGCTATAAAGCGGCAGGTACTGCTCAGGATACTATTTCGACGCTCGACGCTCTCGCTGTGCCAAATATTTGCGATAAACACGCTTCGTTGTGTTACCTAGCGACATTCGAGAGAGATTTAACGAGATACATTCGAGTTTTATGCTTCTTACATCATGCCCTAGCTTTGTACGGACCTGTTAGAGCAATACAAACTGCGTGCGACCTAAGAGATACCGCGTAGTCATCCAGGCAACACAAAAGTCTAAATTGTCTAAAAAAATATTGTTTATACATTCACGATATTTCTTAGACTTTTGTGCTGCCTATGGACAAACGTTGCGTTTCGTTACAAGATAAATCGGCAGCAAGTGTAAGAATCGGAAATCAACGCAGAGATGAGAAACGTTTTTCAATCAGACATCCACATGTCCCAGTAAACACAGTTTGTAGCGTTAATAGAAGTAACAATTAGCAATTGTTATGTTTAGAAAAATTTTAACGTAACTTGTTATTTCAATGTAACATTAGTTATATTGAAAAAGACGTGTATGCTACGTTAATGGAATATTACGTTATATTGCATCATCGTTATATTACATGTTACACCCATAAGTAAGAAATAACTTCTTTTACATGGTGGAAATCACTTCGGATAGCCACGTCTTCGGGGGAAGATTTATGTGGCGCCAAGTTAACCCGCTAAAATCACTACGGTGGCCTCCCCTGCGTTGTGGCAGCTATGGGGACTAGGCAATCCTCCCCATAGCTGCCTCAGAAATAACAACTAACATACATGTAACATATTTGCAATATTACATGTTTTCTTTATATCACATAACATTAACGTAACTGATACATAACTGTGTTTACTGGGATAACTATCTTTATACAGGATGTCCTGTAAGAACGTTTCGGAGTAAATTCTTATATCAAAATGCTCAGACTATCATAGTTTTTTTTTATTTAAAACTAGCACGCCCCGCAGCTTCGCCCGCGACCTAACATGATTGGCTCTCACATGTGTCTCTTTCCATTTAAAATATATCCGGAAAAGCGCAAGAGGTAACGAAAATTTCCTATTAAAAATTCTCTATTATAATCCATATATGTGAATCTAGCAACTTTTCCAATTGATATTTAACATGTCGATATTTAACATATCGAATGGAGTTTTATTTTAGGAGATTCTAATAACGCATTTCGAAGAACTGTTCCGAAATGCTTTCGAAACAACTATTAACATTTGAATTAAATCTGTTCATGTTCTTGTCAAATATATTATCTGCACATGCGATGAAATTTGCAATAAATCTCATGCAGAGAAATGTCATTTGACAACTTGAGTTTTACGTATCATGTTTTTTTCTTTTAAGTTTTCAAAACAAACTTATCTGCATAGACAGTGCATTTACTCAAAATATCAGTAAAAAGTTTATGAGACACCCTGTGTATACAATTCCCTGTGTGTATACACAGGGTGAGACAATAACTTCCCTGTGTGTATATACAGGGTGAGGCAATAAGTCCACCTCAAATATCTCCGCTATTTTTAGAAATATCCAGAAATTGTAAATACGATTGCTGTAGGATATCAAGAGGGCCATAATATGCTAGCAATTTTTTTTCAGCAGGAGAGCTAATCCAATATAAACTTATCACTTTCTGAAAGATCTACTGACACTAAAATCTGCGAAGTGACCTTAAAATCTCCGAAACGCCTCCACTTACTGAAAAAATATTGCTAGCATATTAGTAATTGCAATTTTTTATATTTCTAAAAATAGCGGAGATATTCGAGGTGGATAAAGTTATTGCCTCACCCTGTATGTAATTCTAACTTAAATCACGTATATTTTTACAATAATTATTAAGAGACTACATGACTACACATAAAAGTGGTCGGCAGGTCTCAGATTCAATTTCAACTCTTATCCTACGCACATGTGTCAGCTTGTAAGAAGCTGATTAAAAATTTTTGAATAAAAAATATAAGTCTGGTACACTACGTATCTGCAATCCTTTTCGGGACCGATAAACTATGTAATTAAACTAGTACAATCACTCGTGTATTAAAATGTCATGTGACTATCATGGCTTTGGTTTCATATACGCAAACAGAAGAGGAACTCAGCGTTACAAACTATATCTTGTACTCTTTTCAACTAGTGTTGTTCACTGGAATGCATACAAGATTCAATAACAGTATAACTAATACAAGATTATTTCTTTGTGTCTTGCAGCAACATTGTGACTAATATGTATGCACTTACATTTAAGAATTAATGTCTGATATGGAATCTGATACCGTTAACAGCGGCATTAATCAACCTGATAACATTTGGTTTGAATCGCGATTTAAATAATCAATTTTTTGTACTAAATTTTGTTACTCTATTGTTTTAATAAGACACATGTGTACAGCAAATAAAACTGATTTATCTCATTCTTATCGTATATCATTATAACGGTCTCGCGATAGTACCAATTGGTGCTTTCCATTTAGCGACACAAGTCGACACAAGAGTCAAGTCTATCGTTTTTCAACAGTCAGTGAATAACGTGATACTTGTGTCAACTTGTCTGCAAATGGAAAGCACCAAATGTTAGTAGTAAACAAATTTTAAATGGAATTTAACATAATCTTCAAGTTCATGTGTAAATCTAATTTACTCCCTATTCAAATAAAAAATGTTTTAAGTACGTTAGATCGAGTTAATATTTAATACGTCTAGCCCAAGACCATGTCTAATAATTTGTATCGGCTGTATTATCTGCATGGTAGACCAATATTATGCTTCATTATTCTTGGGGGAAAGTCTATCATAAAATATCTATCACTTTATAAGAGACTCTATACCCATAGTCCAAATTACCGACGTGTCAGTATTCACAGTCACTTCGCAACTTTCGAATGTATTGGAAGTACTTATCAATCCGCCGTATTGCATAGTTGTATTATCTGAAGCACAAGAAAAGTAAGTCGAAAGGACAGCTCGAATAGCATATTAATAATATATTAGATACGATTTACTTATCTCAAGATGGAGTGACAAATATAAAACTTACTTAAATTCCACTTCAAGCCGGTAGTTGATATGCAATTGACGGGACAACCAAACGGTAATAGTCCGCACCAAGATTTCTCTCTTACCAGGATCTCTGGTACATGTATTCTGTGCAAACCAGGTTTTAACATCCACGTCAAAGAATCGCACGCGACATGCTTCACCTGTGAAAACGAACTCGATCAGAATATATGCAGCACGGAGACGCACGAGTCTAGATGTGTTCCCATTGCCTTTCGGTATTACTGAAATGGTTGTTTCCAATTAAACCAGTACTCCCAATAGTCCGAAACGTTCAGTATCAAAGAAAAGAGTAACTGCTATGTTATTACGAAGGACACTGAGGTTTCATTTAGGAACAATTTTCTGAGAAACTGAATTCAGTAATAGCGTCCAGGAAATGGGAACACACCCTCTATCTACCATAGTGTATCTAGTAGGTCCACTCTCTATCGGCCCCTTTGATCTTTGCGGATCCGATCGCGTGGTATTCTACCAGACATTATCCACCGTACGTATACACGTCGCTGGTTCCTGTCCGGATATATGGCGGAATACCACGTGATCGGGATCGCAAAGATCAAAGGCCGGCAGACAGTGGACCTACTAGTTATACTATCTACCAAATAGAAATCCTACCCGTATGTTTCCCAGTCCGAGCTTGTCAACTTTGTACAATGTATTGATGTTGCCGATGATATGGTCAAACCGGCCAGACGTGTCTACCACTACATATATCTCCTCTATCTGCCAAAAAAGATTCATTTCATTCATTTCATCATATACAGCATGAATTTTCGAAGGAAACGATAGCGAGAATCTCAAGCGAGAATCTACACTGACCGGCAATGAATCGTTTCGCCAGAGGGAAATTGTTCCCCCACGCGTTAATAATTCGCCGGTCGGCTAGAGTAGAGAAGCAAGTCACTTCAAAAGGGGTAACCACTTAAGCCTAATCTACAATGCGCTCTTTGCATTTAGAAACATTCTATTTTGTAGACAATAAATATGTTTAAAAAATTTTTGCAAGTTGATAAATTGTATATTATACATTGTACAATTATACATTGTCGACAAAGTTTTTAAGCGTTTTGATTTGATATAAAATATAAAATAGAATGTTTCTAGATGCAAAGAGCATGTTGTAGATTAGGCTTTCATGTAATCATGGGACAGTGTCTCCGAAATCATTATGAAATCCTTACGAAATCCCCGTGTTGAACATTTGAACATTTTCTCAACTTGTTTTCACTTTCCCCCAAAATTTACTTCTTTTAGTGAATATCCAAATATATAATATAGTTCATACCTATAAGCGCGTATTATTCTTTTCACAATAAGATTGAAGCAGTTGCTGTTAGAACAGTGAGTTGAAACGTTGATACGCCTTTGCACGCAGATTTGTAACGATAAACAGTAGATACAAAGATAAAACTTCTTATTAAGACCACGGTTAGACTAGTAGGACAAGGGAGAAGCAAGGGAACACGTTTTCTACCTAACCGAATGCTACATCTTAACTAAAATTACCTCAACAAGCAAATATTATTAATAAAATAAAAAATATATAATGTTTTGTGGAAATCTAATAGCTCTTTGAGACGTAACGTTACATATTTTTAAGCGTGCATACAAGATCATTTGTAATTAGATGAAATTATTTGTAATGAAATGAAATCATGTAATCGGTGGGACATCATTTTAGCTAGTGGTTACCCCCTTGGTCACTTCCCTTCCTGCAAAACGACTCAACGCCGAGGACTGTACATACATCTATGCTGTATGTTTTGATGTAGTGCGCAAGCTGCATCAAGGCTTTGGTATAATCTGTGTTGTCCTGATCGGGTGTCTCCATGACCAACGTTCCCAAATTCTTCAATTTATTAATCAAGGACGGCTCGCAGCTGTCCATATCACCCGTTATTATATCTGGCAGATATCGGTCGTCCTTGTCGAACACGTCCAGCTTCTGCTTCTTCAAGTACTCCAGCCACCTGTGTGTCCCACCATCCACGGTGACTGTGAGCTGAGCTGCTCGCACAGAGATATACAAATCAACAGTGTAAAATCGCGGTGCCTCGCGACAATCGCGTAAACAAGCAACCGAATCGCGAGACATACCTCCCTGCCACAATTTAAGCAGCTTGCTGCCCCTCCAGCACACCGGACGATTCAGCACGACCATCGCGTACTGGCACCTACTCCTGTACTGAAACGTGTCGAGATCCCAGTCAGTACTATCAGCCGACGTACGACCCGACGTCGGTTCTTGCTGCTGCGCCATGTCGTCCGACGCGACGTGTCCCATTGCTGAAAAGCGTCGAAAAACGTGGTCAAGGTTAAGGCGCGATTGAACGGGGAACGCGAGTTTACGTAACACGGCGTCGGTCCTTCCGCGTTGTCAACACTCTATCTCGTTCCACAACAAGAATCGTCGGAGGAAGCGAGGGAGAAAGAGAGGGAGACGGGATTCTGGTCAGGATCCCTGAACGGACACCGTCGCACAGACTTGCCTACCGCGAGACTCGAGAGAACGCGCTCCGTCGCATTCGAATACGTGCCTCGCCAGCATGCCCCGTGCGTCGCACGTGTGAATCGCGCAACGTGACCGACTTGGCGTCTCATTACTGCGTCGTATGTTGTGGTCTATTACACGGCGCGATAACAAGGCATCGCTCGCTTATCTCATCACTTACCGCGGTTACAAGTGGCACTTGACTATTGCGCGCCGACAATTTGCGAGGCCCCGCGAAGGCCCGGGGTTTGACTCTCGGATTTAACGACCCTCGTGAAACTTGGTTAACCCGGAGAATGTTCCAAGACCGAGGCCGATGCTTCCGCGGGAGACACGTGCCACCGAGATGAAATGAGCTCCAATATTGCGAGTCTTCGAGAACTTTCGAGTAGCGCGCCAGTCGAATCCATAGACGTATAATATATAGACTGTACGGTTGGCTCGTAGATTTACGTACGTAGACTGCGCCTTCATGCGGACCGAGCTGAAACCAAGATCTGAAGGACAGAGATAGGCTAATCACAGTCGCATATTCTACTCGTATTTGACCGTGATTGGTCAATTTGTTAAGGCTAAAGCCTATCACACTATGAGCTAGTTTACACCGATCGTTTGGTACGCGTACCAAATACTATATCGGTATCAAATCGCTTGATTCGCTCGATGTAAACGCTCGCGGATTACTTTAGTGCGTTCTGG